TATATGTTGAACAACCATGTCAAATTTTAAAATCTTAATTATTTGTTATTTATTTATTTGTTTAATTAATTAATTTATTTATTTTATGTAACTTATCAGCACCATTCTACTTCCAGTTGAATAATTTAGGTACTTTCCACAACTGGGATCAGATGGTATTTTTTATCCTTTGTAACTTAGTATTAATTTCTCAAGACTACCACATCATGTAGCAGAATTTACTTCCATGATTCCAATGGATCATATTATCATAGACATGCTGGACTCAAATATAGGTGGACACTTGGGTTACTTGGACATTTGAGTTGCTTCTGCTTTCTGGTTACTTGAATAATGCAGCTATGAAAAGAGTGTACAGGGTCCTCTTAGAGTCCTTGGTTTTAGACATCTTCCCAAGAATTTGGACTGCTAGGTTGTATATCAGTTTTAATTTTTTGAAGAACTTCCATTCTGTCTTCTACAATGACTGAACTCTTTTACAGTCTCTGAAAGTCAGCACAAGGGTTCTATTTTCTCATATCTTCACTAGTACCTGCTATATTCTGTTATTTTGATGGTGACAGTACAAATCAAAGTAGGTACAAAGTGACACCTCATTATGATTTTGATATACATTGCTCTGAATACAGTGAACATCTTCAGTGGTCATTTGACCATCTTTTCATCTATCTGGTAGTCATGTTATTTCTTGAGAAACATTTTTGCTCACTAAAAAAACCAGGTTGTTTATTTTTATACAACACAACTACTATCATTCAAATAAATGATTCTGTAACTATATCCCATTTCCCTAACTGTTCTGTCATTCTGTAGTTTGTGTTCTTTGATGTAAAAAGGATTTTAAATTTGCTGTAATCATGTATATCTAGTCTAATTTAATCACCTGTGTTTTTATGTCAGACCCAAGAATTTATGATCATATTTTAATAATGTGATGCTTTCCTATGCTGTCTTCTAATTTGATAACTTGGGGGTCTTATGCTTATATTTAGTCTATTTTGAGCTATGTTTTTAAAGTAACAAACACATTCTTTGTCCTGTGGATATCCAAGTTTCTCTATCACCACTTCTTGAAAGACTGTCCTTATCCCTTTTGGTATTATTTCATTTCCGGACTGTACTTGGTTAGTTCGCAGAAATGAGACATTTCTGTCTGTCAATCTGTGGTTCCCCATTGCTGAATTCATTTTTCCTTCCAATGAATGTTTTGTGTGGAATACTTAACTGTTTGAAATAAGTGAGAACATGACATCTGCAAATAAAGATAATTTAACTCCTTTTCAATTTGATTACATGTTATTTCTTCTTCTTCTCTGTTCCTATCTTTCTTTTGTTCACTGCTGTGGATGCCTAGCCCTCTGCTGAATTACTGAACAGAAGTGGTAAAATGGGCATCCATGCCTTGTTCCTGATCCTAAAGGATATTTTTTCTTTTTATCATTTCATGATGTTAGTTGTGGGCTTTTTATATATGGTCATTACATCATTGATATAATCTCTTCCTATTTCTGTTCCTACTTGTGATTGTCAATGAATGGACTAGAATCTTACCAAATGCTATTTTCTTTTCTGCATCAATTAAGATGAGTAAGTTTTTGCCCTTCATTTTGCAAATGTAATTATTTGAAGTTTTGTTTAGCCTTCTTTTCTAAATGTTTTTACAGATTTTGAACACAGTCTGTGAAAGCTTTGGTTGTTCTCATAGCTCATCAGTAGAGTTAGGAGATCACTTGGGGCAAGAACAATGGCAGGTCCATGAGATGATAAATGGTGAGATATTTTGAAATGTAGATACTTACTTGAAGAGCTGAGGCAATTTTTCATTACAAAAAGGTGCAAAATTTTATAAAAATTCTTTTAAAACATTCCCAATTTAATATTTTGTCATAACTGAAGTAAACAAAGAGTGAGGATTAGTGAGTCCCCAATAAGACGTATCTCAGGCCTGTTGCAAGGCTGAGGAAGGCTGTGTCACTTAATTGCTAGATGTGGAAGAAGAGAATTGAACACAGTGGAAACAAAAACAAAGGACTAAATGACAGATACCGTTTGGAACAGAAGGGAGGACACCATGGCAGACAAAAGGAACCAACATTCATTTCATTGTCTGAAATTAAGTGCAAGCACATCAAAATGCCTTTGGCCTTTTCAGGTTGAATATTTTCTTTTTATTGATTCTTTGAAACTTTCACACAATGCATTTTGGTCAAATTCGGAATCCCTCCTTCCAGCTCCTGTCTAACCCACCTCACCTCCGTACTACCCTCATTTCTTGTCTTTTACTATTTTTTTCATAAGACCTATCAAGTCTAATTTTGTGCTCCATCATCTATAGATCTGTCCTCAGGAGCGTGGTCAGCCTAAGTGGCCTCACACCCCTTAATGAAAACTGACTTTCCCTCTCCCAGCAGCTGTGAATTGCCAATAGTTCCTCAGCTAAGGGCAGGACTTTCTGCTCACCTCCCACCCTTATGCTAGCATTTTGTCTGGCTTGGGCTTGAACAAAGCTTGTTCTTTCTGTCACAAGTGTTATGGGTTCATATGTACAACAATTCTGTTGTGTCTAGAAAACAGTTTTCTTGAATTCAACCTATACCTCTGGCCCTGACAATCTTTCCAACATGATTCTCCAAGAAATTTGAAAAAAAAAGTCTTAAATTTCACATGAACACTTACAAAAACAAACAAACAAACAAACAAACAAACAAAAATAGGATAGCCAAACAATCCTAAACAGCAAAAAGGAGAGCTGGAGGCATCAGCATCCCTGATTTAAAATTACACTATAGAGATATAGTACTAAAAACAGCTTTGTACTGGCATAAAAACAGATTAGAATTGAAGACCCTGATTTAAGTCCACAGATTTACAGTCACCTGATTTATGATAAGGAGGCCCAAAACACACATTGGTGAAAAGACAGCATCTTCAACAAATGGTGTTGGTCAAACTGGATAGCTACATAGAAGAATGAAGCTAGATAGACTCTTTTTTGGAAGTTGGAAAAAGAATAAATGATTCCAAAGATTAAAGTTTTTTGTAGGGCTAGAAAATAGTAAAAATTTTGTTAGTACTGCAGAAATTGTGCATCTATGTAGATGCATGAAGCCTTGCTGGTAAAGGGCTTTATTCAATGTCCTTACAACTCAACTTCTGATTTTCATTATGATGTCCTACCTCATGTGCTCATTTTCATATGTCATCAGTCTCCACCTCTTTACATTCATCACAGGCAGAATAATATATGTGAGGATATTTGAGGCTTTATGGATGATTTGATCTATTTATAGAGTTCCTATCTCCCTATTTGAGCTATGCTGGTTCTACCAACGCTTATGACATTTCCCATCCAGAGCTACAGAGGCCAGTCATGAATCACTTATGTACTATAATGTTCTTCTGTTTCTCATCTTCCCATTGTTGAACACTGTCCTCAGGGTAAGAGTTCAGTTCTGTGGCTAGTGCGCCAACCCTTTCGGAGCCTTCTCCTCTCTAAACTGTTGTGTTTCTTGCCCTTTCTCTTTGGCAACCCTCTTCTTGAAGCTTTACATATAGCTCTGACATTTACACCCTTTGTGTTTCCTATTGTGTCCAGTTCCAACTGAGTTTTCCCTTGATCACTCTGTTTAAAAGCCAGCTCTGACTGCATGGTTATAAGAGAGTACTTAGGTCCATGCAACTTACCACTATAGCTTTCTTGCATTCCAAAAGAATTTAGGAAGCAGTAAGTGGTCACAGAAGTGAATTTTCACTATTATTCACTAATCTGGGAAGAGGAAAATCCTATTTCTCTCAATGGTGCCAGCAGCAACCTTACAATTTATAGAAAATTATTAAACAAGAAGATATGCACATTCGGCTGCGAAACATTAACCTGTCTTATCCTGAATTAAGGTGGTTGAGCCTCAGGGTGTTTCAACTGTCTCTGTTCTCTGTAGAGAGCTTTGTATTCACATTCTGGCTTGGGAAAACTGAGGTAGTCTATTTTGAGATTCCTCAGCTTTGAAAGCAGTCTCAGGTGCTTTGATATGGGGGGTGATGGCCGTTTATTACTATGTCTATTTCGCTGGATAACGTTAACTATTATCCACTAAGACCTATATCTTAGCAGCCACAGATTTTTGGCTCAGTTAACAGTACCAGATATGAGTTTCTTGTTGTGGAATAGGCTTTAAATCCAATTAGAAAGGACTTGGAGTTTTATGAGATCTTAGATGCAAGATGCCCACATCCTTGTGAGACTCACAGAGTTCTTTGCCTGTAGGTCTATTCCTTTGATAGGTCTAGAGGAAGTCCTTTGTTGTCTTTTGTTTGGAGGTCAGCTTCAAGCTCTAAGTCCTGCATGCCAGTTAAACATACTCAGTTTTGCAAGGGAAACAGGTGGTAGTCTGAGAGCTGATGGGAGGGGCACTTAGAATCTCTATTTTTTGCACAAAGCTCCAGCAATTCCCTCAGCACAGGGTCACTATTATACAATAAATATCCATGTTAGCACGTTTATTTTTTTCCTCTATAGCACCTATCACTACATTCAAATTTAAGAGTCACAAGACAGAATCATTGTTCATTTAATTTGATACTATAAATTTATACCTAGAACTGTGCTAAATAAATGCTTCTAATGGGAACAAATAAGTAGAGCTGAAAATGTTTCTCTAAAAACTGAAGTTTAAATGCCATATATTCACTTTTATTTTTTGAATAGAATGCCTCATTGTTTATCTTAGTTTAAAATATTTTTATGATTTTATTAATTTAAAATATTTTATACAGAGTCCCTTCCTAGTTTTGTTTTTCTTAAAAATTCATATACACACACTTGAGAAATCTAAACCCTTTGGAAGGCTTTCTC